CTATCTGTAAAGTATCGCTGCAATATTTTGACCCTTTTATGTTAATCTGGAAAAAGAAAAGGTAAGAAGATAAGACAACCAGATTGGATGAGACCTAACACCTTCCTTGTCTAGATTTTCTTTCTCAAAATGATCAATTATGGTGGGAAGCCAAGGGCAACAGATTATTGTTGATTGACATTTTTTTCCAGCAAATGGGACAAAGAGGCATGCTCCTGGATTTCAAAGGAATTGCCTTTTTAAAGCAGTTGATAACTATCACTGCATCTTGTGGTTGCAAAATTCATTGTTTAACTGTGTGCTAAGCAACAGAATAGTGCCTTTTGTGTGTCCCTAATAAAGTGAAAGTGGTTCAGCTTTAGTGGATAATTTTGACTTCCCATGAGTATTATGAGAGAAGAAGCAGATTACCCTACCCCATGTATTCACAACCTCTTTTCTGCATTAGTGTGATCGCCCATTTACATAGCATGCCTTGCTCAATCCAACCATTTGCAACAGGTTTGGCCTAGCATTGGGATTTTTAGTGGTCCTGGGGATGGGATGTTATTGTGAGAAGATATTATACGTTCAGTTTTGAAACACATAAAATTAATTATATCATGAACTTCAATTATGGCATCAAATTATCCATGACATGACAACTGTCCCTGAATTCCAAGTATGCATGCATAGCTTAGGACAGGGGTCCTCAACCCCTGGTCCATGGACTGGCACCGGTTTGCAACATGCCAGCAACCAGGCTGCGCAAACAAGCGAAGTCCCATCCTACACCCCTTCCGGTCGGTGGAAAAACCTTTCTCTATGGAACCATTCCCTGGTGCCCAAAAGGTTGAGGGCCATTAGATTAGGAGACTAAAAGTGTTTTCTTGTGGTCTCCAAATACAATTTTCTCAAATTGAATGAATGCTAGATATCCTCTGTGACTTTGAAGAAACAAGACAGAAAGACTGTTAATGCTTCTGAATTTTGGTACTGGAGAAGGCTTTTGAGGATACCATGGACAGGCAAGAAAGCAACAAATAGATCCCCACTAAACCTTTTCTCCTTTATCTGCTTGAAGATGTATACCTGCTTATTCATCTCAGCGCTTTACATGCCAAAGTAGATTCTAAACTAAAAAGTTATTCCAACATAAATATGTGACTGAGGCAACACTGTGATCCAGACTTTGACAAGGCTGGGATTTGGTTCAGCCTGGCTGTGATTTTCAACTGTGTGAAGAATGGTTTTTACTGCAGGTGATTATGAAAGCCTGATCTGTGGTGACTTTCCTGTCTGCAAGGAGAAGCGATGGCGAGGCAGATAGCAGCAGCAAAAACCAGCGGTCGCGGTTGTACCCACAGGCAGAGAGAATCAGCCACACTCATATGTGGGTTTCTTCAAACTTCTGCTCTGTGTTTGTGGGAGGGGGGAAAGGCATTTGTCTGCCTCCTCACGACTGGCAAGGCCTGCTTTCCTGAGACGACTTCTTGAGGAGGCTTTCTCCTTCCACCCTCATTATGTTTGTTGAAAGTATCTATCCCAGAATTCCCTGACAATATGGAACTACAGCCTGCACACTTCAACACACTTGGAAAGTGCTAGTCTGAGGAAGATGCAGAGAAAGCTGCCCAGATATATTCCCCCCCCCATTACAAACCTAATGCTGTCAGAGTTTCTTAGAACATGACTGTGTTGTGTCATGTATTGTAAATGGGAGTTTCAACAAATAGACAGTGCACATGCCACAGTTTGCAGCAACACAACATACTTTTGCATTTTTTTCTGTTTCTGTCTTCTTAATCCCCCCTCCCTTTTAGGATTTTTGTCCCTTACATATTTTTTCTATTGCTGTACATGCAAAATGTGAGTTCTTCCAAGTGCATTTTCCACTTCACGATAGCAGGGTTAGGGTTACATAAATATGGTCCCTTGGGAGAATGAAGGTTGCTGTTAATATATTTGTAATGTGATTGTTGATTTTCATGTTGTAAGTAATATGTTGAAGTTTCTTCATCTTTCTATTTTATCTCTCTAATCTCATGTATAAAGAAATGTCTGCAGTATCATTTCTTTTTAAAATATTGATTTACTCATAATTACTTGCCCCAATCTATTCAAGGATTTCGCCAGTGAACTTCAACTCATCTAATTGAAAAACATACTGAAGGAGGTGCTGCAAAATGACTCACAGAACGGTGGGTTTGCTAATTCACAAAATAATTGTGTGTATGTGTGTGTGTGTGTATACATATGTGTTGTGACTCCGAGACTTGAACCTGATCAGTCAGCAGATGTGGGCTCGAGTGAGGAGGAAGATATGGCATTGAGATTCGAGCCTGCATTGCTGAGCGACGTTGAGAGGAGTCTGGGGGAGGAGGAGGAGTTGAATCTGAGAGATGAACCTGATTTATTAGAAGTTTCAGAGACGTCTTCCTCTTTGGAACTCCCTCCCTGATTGCACCTCAGGTGTTAACTGTTAATCAGGAAAGTGTATCAGAGGATTCCAGCTGTGATGAAACTGCCGGATGCTGGCTGGATGCCAGAACTAGGAGAAGATTGAGACGTCAATCTCAATTAGAAAAGAGACGTCCAGCAAAGGATTAATTAATGAGACTAACACGCCCTTTCTTAGAGGATATAAGGGAGCGCATGACTTTGAGATATTTGCTGGAAACAAAGTGAATCTTGCCTTGGAAAGACTTGCGTCTGATTTACTGCATTGTGAGTTACGAACTTTACAGAATTGCCGGACAGATTCTAGGAGGATTGCCAAAGGACTGTGATAACAGAGCAATTCAATCTTCTGACTCCGGTTTTGTTTACGTAAAGTATTTGAACTATATTACTTGCAGTTTCATCTGTGGATACAGGTGGAACAGAACACATATGTGTATGAGAGAGGGAAGAAAATAAGAGGGAGCAAAGCACCAAAAGACTAGAAGGTAATTCTATAGAATCACTTTTTGCTACCTACTTCTTAGTTCTTCTATTTTGTTTTCCAAGTCCATCACCAAAAAGGCCTTCTGGTTCTGGTTTAAAACACAGATTGATTCAGATAGTAAAGATCATAAGTTTGTTCTCAAGTCTGCAGCTTCACACAGAACTGGAAGCCAATCAGCCATTGACCTTTCTGACTGATAACTAAGAAAGGGAACCTGCCAGTTAGTGCTTGGTTTCTGCTACCTACTCAGATCTTTCCTTAACAGACTCTCCTCTCCTTTAAAAATAATCTAAATTTGTACCATTCCCACCAAGTTTTTGTGTTTGGTCCCATCTCCAATGATGTCGTCCTAGGGTTATTGTGACCTGGAAGGCAACATGAGCCCATCTTCTGTAATGAGAGTCACAATGTTGTTTGCTGTTA